TATTGGATTACCAGTGACGGATTTGGATTGAACTTTCGGGAGGAAACCCAGAAATAAACATAAACTGTTTTTTCGATTTACCAGTGAAGAATTTGATTCTTTTGTTTTTCTTTCCCTCTCGTTCTAGTTGACGATTTGTTCCTCGAAACCGTCTGTTGGCTTGTTGTTGCCATCCCAGTTTTGTTCAATGGTAGATCGGTTTTCGACCCTTCAAAGACCGGCCCGGTCCAGTAGTTTCAGTCCATTTAATTGGAGCTATACTCTTTAAAAAATAATTCGTACAGAAATCTCCATTGAAGAAATATACGAAAAATTCACCACTTTAAATGGACTCAAACAAAATATACGAAATTACAAGAGTTTCTTCTGCGTAAACATTCGATCGAGTTGAGTTAAATTAAAAATTTTGAATTAATTTAGTTGACAAGTCATATTTCATTGCTCGAATTTAATTTGAACTTTCTTCAAATCGAGTTGAGATTATGAAATTTGAGTCGAGTTGAATCAAGTTGTTCGAGTTTCTATACAAAATTAATTGTAATTATTTATAGTGATATGTACGAATCGATTCTAATTTTTCAACTTTCTCTAATCATGTAAGATATATATTTTTTTCATATCCATTTCACGTTATAATGTTAATTAATATATTGAGCATAATCTAAAATTATAAAATATATTTACATTATTATACTTTAAATAATGTATTTTGATGGTAAAGTATTGATAAGATTAAAAAGGAGTTAATGAATTGATGGGATGAAAAAATTGCAAAATCAAAATATCAAATTGAGTAAAATGTAAAGTTAAGAGACTAAATTAAAAAAAAATACAATTTTAGTAAAAAATATGAATTGAAGTCACTCAGGTATTCTATAGTGCTATAGGAGCAAGTGGTTCAAATTTGGTTAAAAACATACTTAAAATAAAGAATGAATCGAAGAAATAAAAAAAATCATGAAAAGTAGAGGGACTCAATTGAAAAATAGAAAATTTGTTATCAAAAAGATTAATTGAAAGTGTATGAAATTATTCGAGTTTTGAAATTATTAAACGAAATCGGTCGTAAAAAAAGACTATTAATTTTTTTAGAGATTTTGTGTTCGAACTATTGTGTCTGCAATGTATATGCATTGTCAATAACTAAAAGAAATTCTGAACAAATATTATAATTTAATTTTTTTAAATCCTGTCATTACATATAATCATATATTTGATTATATTTTTTGAAAAAATTTAAATATAATTTTAATTCTAATTATAAGTTTCAAAAAATACACTCCCAACTTTTTTTTTCTCGACAATAATAACACCTAAATTAAGAGTCCAGTTAAAAACCTCTCTCAACCTAAACGAGGAAAAGAGAACCCAACAAATTATTATTGCCGAGCAACAACTTAAATAGTCCTTTGCTCTTTTACTTTAATTCAAGTCACAAACAACTTATTTAAAATTTTCAGCATCTAATTTACAGCTCAATATCTCAAAAATTCTATTATTGTCATTTAAGCCACTAATTTTATCAATATTTGCTAATTATTACTCAAACTCTGACAACTTCCCAAAATAGTCAAATTTTACATTTTAACATCAAATTCATCATTATAACATTAATTTTCAGCATAATAATTCATGTATTGAATAATTACACATTAACTCCTTAACTTTTCAAAATTTCCAAGTAGGTCCCCAAGTTTCACAAAATTACAAAAATATTCTAAAATTTTTCTAAAACTTGTAGAATCATTCCTACATCATTTCCAACCTATATATAATTTTTCCATAATTTTACTCACTACCAAATGCTTAGGTCGAATATTAAGGGGATAGATTTCCATGATTTCACTTGATTACAATTGATTCAAGCATGAAATCAACCTCTAATCATCATTTCAAAAACTCTACAATCAAAACCCTAACTCAAATTCATCAAATCACAAATTTTCCTAAATTAGGTTTAAGTCGAAAATCACTAATTGCATTTCTAGGTGGTTTTAATCATCACACATGCTTGGAAATGATTCTACAACATCAATAACCTCTAAATCCATCATCAATTCATGAAAACCCTAACATGAACACAAATACTAAAATTTGGGAACTTAACATTCAAGCAAGATTAGCATGCAATAATGGCACCAAATGATATTGTTTTTCAAATAGAACAATTTTCTATTTCACTGTTTGATCCTAAATCCAAAGGAAATTGCTCAAAAATGAAAAATAAAATTTTCCTCCATACCTTGTGAAGCTCTCACCCATGGTTGATTTTGAAGATGAATTTGCCATGAATTTCCTAGTTAATTTCATGTACATTTGCCATTTATTAAGCTTGAATGAATTAAATTCATTTAATGGGAAAAGACAATTTCACTATTAATAAAACTTGATAATGACATTCATACCAAGTCACATGTTGGTTATCATCTTCCAAAGTCAAAGATGAACAAAATATTATGCCCTTGACAACTTTATCCATGCAACATTCCAAAAATTTCAATCTTACTATTTTCATCAAACGGTCCAAATTGAACATGAAAATAAATTCTCAAGTCCAATGCTCCATATTATTTTCCATCATTTTAATATGTTGAAATAATATTTCTAAGCTTAATTTATCAACCTTCAAAATTTCTCAAAATTTATATTCAATTTGATTTCTTGAATTTTTTTCCGTATTTTAACATTTTATAGCTTTTAAAATAAATTCAGGATCAAAAATCTGATTCTCACCAAAATATCATTCTTGGGGTTGAACTATTCATTTATGGGGTCAAAACACCAAAAATTTGAAAATTACATTTTTTGTCTCTAAACTTTTTGAAAAATTATCCTTTTGGTCCTGATTTTTTCCAAACTTTATGCTTTGGTAACTAAACTTTCAAAATGTACATTTTGATCACTAACCAAATTTTGGATATTACATATTAACACCATGGAGCTGAATCAAAATTAGAACCTAAGCCACCGAAACTTCCAACAGTATTTTTTCGAAGATAAATTGACCCACTTACCCGAAACGCAGATTAAACTCTGGTTCGAGTGCGAACTCTCCATTTCAACTATCGATTTGTTCCACGCAATAGCTAAGCCTCCTGATCTACCCACTGCATCCACCCAAAATCTTTGAATATAGACTTCTAACAACGGAGAAACTTCCTCATCCAACAACAACCCTCACGAGCCGAATTCAATTATTGCCTAACAAGGCTAATCCCTTCACCACGTCCACCTCATTTCCAATTATTTGAATCCAGAATGTCCACCTCATTTCCAATTATTTGAATCCCAAGAATTTTCCCCAGTTGAAGTGTTTTCACAGCTTCACCGTTCGCTGCCAACCATCTATCTTTGAGATCCGAATCCGACAATGATCTGCCCGACAACTCTGAGAATTCCAAATCTTGCATCTTCAATTTGTGTTTTTTTAGTGCTTTGTCCCTCTTTCTTCTGTTTGATATCGATAAAACTTGATCCTGAAAACCCAAGAGCGATCCGTATCTTTTGGATTTCCCAACTAAGAAAACATAATTAGAGAGATCACAACTTTCAAATGGATAAGAGATTTCGGGACTCATTTTGGTCGCCCACTCTGCAAACATATTAACCCTAATTATTTGTATGGATTTTGTTGTTTATTTATCTCAAAAATAAATGCACTATCAACGTATAAAAAATAATTATTACATAAAATATCAACACAGTTGAATATTTATTAATAAATTCACTTAATATCAATAGGCACACCGATGAATGTGTTTTGAAATAAGCTGAGGACTGATCCTTTATCTAAGCACTTTGACTTAATAATATTAAAACCACCCCCACCAATTAATTGGCAAAATTTGGTTCTTGAAATTGGTGACCACATCACGTTTGCATGTTGGGGGAGGCTGGTTCAGTGGATCAAGATCACTATCATCTTACTATAATAAATTAATAATAACAATAATTTATTTCTAATTAAAGATTATTTAATTTCTGCTTAAAAGAAAATTGTATTTAATACATTTCCTTTTTACTTGGGTAAAGTACGCGAATGGTCCATCGATTATAGAGTATCGTTTTATTGAGTCACCCGACTATTAAAAGTTACAAAACAATCCCCTACCTATAAGATGTTGCTTTTTTAAGTCTCCCGACTATTAAAAGTTACAAAATGGTCACTTGACTATTTATTGTGTTCCAAACTCGTACTTTTTCGTTAAAAAATTAATGGTAGTTTGAGATGGATGTTAACCTACTGACTGAGATATGATAGTCGTTTGAGATTTTAGGATCATATTATATCATGTCTCAATCAGCAGGTTAATGTCCAACTTAAATTGTCATCGATTTTTTAATAGAAAATGATGAGTTTGGAACACAATGATTAGTCAGGTGACCATTTTATAACTTGTGATAGCTGGAGGACTCAATAAAATAACATCCTATAGTCGGGGACCATTTATGTACTTTACCCTTTTTAGTTATACTATAAAAATAAACAATATATATATATATATATATATATATATATAGATATATATATATATATGAAAATGATGAGTTGGAACACAATGATTAGTCAGGTGACCATTTTATAACTTGTGATAGCTGGAGGACTCAATAAAACATCCTATAGTCGGGGACCATTATGTACTTTACCCTTTTTAGTTATACTATAAAAATAAACATATATATATATATATATATATATATATATATATATATATATATATTGAGACAATGATAAAATTATTGTATATGCCCTCAAAATATATAATCCTTTGTTATTTTGTAGATGGTTAGGACTTTTTAAACAGCAATCGATAAATAATACCGAATTTCGTGACTACCAGTAACAAAGCTCTAATAAGAAAATTAAAAGCAAAAACTAGAAGAAAAAAAAGGGAATAAAAAGAAGATGGGTGAATTGAGCAAACCCTAATACAAGAAAGCAAAAATGAAAGTGGTGAATCCATGAAACCCTAGCCCTCATTTGATTAATTAAAAGTGGTCTATTGCATAAGCAAACTGCGGATTATGGCGGCTTGAGCATTGTCGGTCGTCGCTAAAAGCTCCGATAGTCTCTCGCTGAGATCATCAACCTCTCTATGCAAGCTTCTAATGTAGTTGCACGTCTCCTGTAACACTTTGGCCGCCGAAACCTGTCAATGAAGCAAATATATTAACTACTTAATCGACTGGACTAAGGTTTCGTTTGAGAATGTTTCTTCAAATGAGTTTTTCTAACGTAAAACCATCTTTTTCAACTTCTTGATTTGGGTCAATAATCACGTTTCAAACGTAAATTTTTAACCGAAAATGAGTTGTTCGGTAATGTTTTGCGCTTCAAACGGAATTTTCAGCCAACAACACCTCTATGAGCATTCTCAAACAGTCCGTTAACAATAAAAGAAAGTTTTTCTCCCTAAAAGTCATGGGTTCAAGTAGCTATGCTTGTAGGATGTTATCTTGTCAATATATTATAAAAATTCTGAACAAATATTATCTCATAATCACCGCATATTATTAAAAATAGTTAGTAAAAAATAATTATGTTAAAAGTAATATTGTCGTTGATAATAATAAACATGTTTAAAATACTCATCACTAATACTTAAATCAATAATAATAATTCCGTTGGTGCTTTTCAATATATAAAGGAAATGATTCACGTATATTATATAAAGAATGCCATATTAAAAATATATTTAAATTTTCCTTATCAAAAAAAATATTTCTTTGTTAATTTTTATTTTTTGTGGGAGTAATTGTATATCCTACAAATTATAATTTCAAGAATATAAATAATAATTTAAATTGACCTTTCCAAGATCAAACTTAAAGATCCATCACCGTCTCTAAGTTTATTATATCAGCAAAGTGGCATAAGAAAATAAGGTTATATTATGACATTAGTCCTTGTATTACATGTAAGTTGTATATTTAATAAATTGTACTCTAATTTTATCAATTTTAATCTTTGCACTTTTTAAATTTTAATTATAAGCAAAATGTTTAATGACAATATTATTAAATTATGGAGAGTTAAAATGATTAAATTAGAGAAAAAAAATACTAAATCAAAAATTTATACATTATAATAGACTTTGATTTAACAAAATTAATACTAATATATATTTGGATAAAGAATGAAATTTCAAAATTAAAGTATAATCATAATCTACACACAATAAAGGGATTAATCGAAGAAATTTACCAAAAAATAACATTGAGAAACTCCAGTTTTGAACATATTTATTTCTACATTCTTCGATAAAACAGGAAACCAGATGCATGCACCGTAAATTGTCTATATTTAGAATAACCTATTTTTTTTTTCTTTTTTAGTATAAGATAATTAGGGTTTGGTAATTAAGAATTGGCAAAAGAGTAAACCCTGAATTGAAAAAATCATCGTATTATTTTTCTCTCAATATGGTTTTCTAATTCAAAAACAGAACCTCATGTGGTTATTTTACCTACTTTTTTGTCATTGACCAACGACTCCGTTAATTTCTACTGACGCTAATGCTTTCTCAAATCTGTTACGAATGGAATATTGCTTATAGCTGGTGGTAGAGATAGAAATAATTAGTTTTCGGGTGATTTTTGCATAAACTTACGGTTGACTTAGATCATCCTAATAACCAATGACTTACACTAATATTGGTCAATGATGAAAAACTTTGGTCAAATGATCACATTGAGTTCATTGTTTTGAGTTTGAGAACCACATCAAGGGAAAAAATAGTATGAGACATACATTTTTTTAAGTACATGCAATTTCGCATACCCTTTAGCATTAGTAATTAAACGAAACTATACATACACACATGCATACAACATACACATATATAGAGAGAGAGGGAGAGAAGGGTTGTGATTTCTGAAGTTTGGAAATACCTTATCAGAGTGGGCATTACGAATCTCAGGAAGAAGTTGGTGCAACTTAGAAACAAGATCATTGATCTGATCATCAGTTATTCTTGAATTACTTCCTGATTGTCTTGATCTTGATCTTCTACTCGACATCTTCTTAGGGATATAATATTACTTAACAAAACACACAAAGTATATAATATATATAGGTGGGAATTTGTGAATGCAAAGAGAATGGTGGCAAGGGAGACAAGTTATGGAGGAGGAGATATAGTTGGTGTGTGAATATATATAAGAGAGAGAGAGAGAGAGAGAGAGGGAGGGAGTTAAAAATCAAGGAAAGCTAGTGGAGGTGCGTTGGGGAGTGGAGAGAGGGGGGACAATTTGCATGGGAGTTTGCTTAAAGCCCCTTTGTCTTTAAATAGGGTTTTTTTAGGAAATAATATATATATAACACAACCAAAAAGAATCAACCCATACTTGGATATGCCATCCTGTCTTTCATTTGGGTTGTTCCTAATTTGCTTTTACTTAAAGATAATTGCTACAGTCCATTGAACGGTATTCATAGTTAAAGAGAATATTATTCTTTCTTGAGATTTTGTACCATATAACAATTACGTTTGTTGGGTGTGTGTATGTTATCAATAATTAAGAAAAATTATAAATAAATATTACATTGCAATCATTTTATATTATTAAAAAAATTGGTGAAGTATATTAGAGATCACTAAATTATGTTTAAAGGATTGTTTTAGTTATCAAACTTTTACAAAAATAATTATTAAATTAATCGAATTGTTATAAAATGGTAAATGAAATACCATAATAAGTGTAAAAATTCGATAAATGTAGTGTATATTTTATAATATTTCAATAAAATAGAGTGGTCATTTTATAATAATTTGATAAAATTTAATGACACGTATAATTTTTGAAAGTCCAATGATCAAAACAATTATTTGAGCATAATTCGGTTACCCTTGACGTACTTTACCCAACAATAACACATATTAAAAAATAGATTAATATTTTCAGAAACATTTAAATATTCAAAATACTTTTACCTGAACACATCGTGATTCGAATAGAGAAATAAAAAATAAAACAGAGATGGAGGTTCTTGGTTGATTTTTATTTTGTACAATAATGGAGAGAAAAGGGTACTCTATGATTTAAACCTTAGTCTTAATATTAAATAGGGTAAAGAACACACATGTACCTCGAATATAAAGTATTAGTGGGTCCAGAAATTTAAGAATGAGTTCAAAATTTTAATTTTTTTTCTTAAAAACAATGATTATGCAAAAAAAATCTTTCTTTTTATTATTTTTTCCTAACACATTAAGTTAAATTTAATCATTTTTCTAAAATAACGGGATTCACTTGGCCCCTACCGGGGCTTAGTGCATCCGCCCCTGCTATAGAGTATTGCTTTGTTAAGTCATCCAACTATTAAAAGTTACAAAATGATCATCCGACTATTCATTGTGTTCCAAACTCGTTCTTTTTCGTTAAAAATTTGATAGTAGTTTAAGCTGGACATTAACTTGTTGACTGGTATATGATAGTTGTTTGAGATTTTGGATTCATATTATATCATATCATATTTCGGTCAACATGTTAACGTTCAACTCAAGGTGTCATTCATATTTTAACCGAAAAAGATGAGTTTGGAATAAAATGAATAGTGGGGTGACCATTCTGTAACTTTTAATAGTTAGGGGACTTAAAAAAATAATGCCTTATAGTCGAATGACCATTTTATAACTTTAATAGGCAGATGACTCAATAAAGCAACACCCTATAGTTAAGAACTATTTATGTACTTTACCCTATTAACTATAACTGAAATCAAGCACAAATATTTTATCAAACCTTGATTGGGTGTCAATGATTATTAGATTAATGATGATTAATGTATCAAATAAATGAATAATTATGCAACATGAGCACATATCATTTCCCTATAATAAATTTTATATAAAAAATCAATTACTTTATGTACTTAATGAATTTTCTATCAATGCTTAATAATTATAATTTTATAATAATTAGATTCGATCACGAACCAATAAGTAATCTAAAATTCTTTGATTAAAGTTTTATGTTATTCATTAATTTGATCAAAATTGTTATTATTATAATATTTTTTGAATATATTTAAATATGGATGTGTTTTTCATTTAAAATTGTAAGAAGATATTAATTCATTTAAGTATATTACATAAAAACCAAAGAAAAACAAACTAATGAAGGGAATGCTAGGAGGGTTGTCCGGTCAAGTCTCGGTAAAGCAAAAAGAACACACACCATGTTCTTTGCACCTCATCTAACGTGTTATACCCAAACTCTTCATTATTTAATTCGTAACTATTTGTTGAATAATTTTATTTTTTTTAAATATATAAGAGGGTAAAATATATGTTTTCACTAACCAATTTACATCAATAATTAAATAAATCATTGTTGTTTCTAGAGGTCAAGAGTTCGAGCACCAGCGCCTGCAGCAAGGTGATTGAGTGTTCATTGCCAAATGGTTGAGAGTATTTAGAATAGATATTAATTTATAATCACCTTAGCTTAATAAAAAATATATTTTAATACCTCATCTCATGTATTATCTTGGACATCAAATATTTTCTTTTAAATCATATCTAACATTTAATTTTAGTTTCGGTATGGTCATCCAACGTTAAAATATTAACAAAACTGTTGATGCTGTAACTTTTTATTTCTTCAATGACGACGTATTATTATCTTGTAGTGACATCAATATCACTATTGATTCTTTAACGAAATGTGACCAAAATAAAACTTAAATTAAACGTTAGGTATAGTTTTAAAAAAATTGAATGACTAAAACGGAACAAAAGTGATGATTGAGGTACTAAATGTATTGTTTATACTATATGATATTATATAAGTTGTAGTTTAATGATTATTACTCTTAATTACCCAATTGGCTCTTCCTAATATCTAATTTGATTTTTAAGATAAACTTACACTTAACTAGACACACACACGCGCATATATATATATATATATATATATATATAGAGAGAGAGAGAGAGAAATGTGAATATTATTGCAATTTTTTTAAATATGTAAGTGATAACTATACTATTATCTTTGATTAGGTCAAAAAATTTCACATTATGAACTCGATTTTTTTTTAAAAAAAGATTGTAATCCTATTGAATAGAATCGGAGTCTACCGAATCTAAATCATATGCCTATTCTTATTCATGGTACTAGGGTTGTAAATGAGCCAAGTCGAGTTCGAGTATTGTTGAGTTTGACTCGACTCGAAAACTTTAAAACGGAGCTCGACTGGACTGGAAAACTCACGAGCCTAAATTTTTCAAGCTTGAAGTGAACTCGAAATCATAAATTGAAACTCGAAAAAACTCGAAATAAAAAAAATCTTACTTAATTTGATTGAACCTCGAACTCAAACTTTAACTTTAATTACATCAAAACTTTATACTATATTTTAAAAAAATCAACACATACATTTTAATATTATTAACAATTTATTTTAAAAAAAATAAAATCTTAATATATTATATTTCCGAATTGCTCGCGAGCTTTTCAAGTCGAGTATCAAGTAACTCGTTTTGACTCGTTAAGAACTCGAGTCGATTATTTATCGAGCTTTGATCGAATCAACCTCGAGTAACTCACGATCTGTCTCGTCTCATTTACAACCCTACATATAGAAGTCCTTATAATAGGGAAAAATAATTTTAAGATTGTTACTTTATTAGGTTAATTATCATTGGATTTATTTTGTTTTATTATTTTATACATATTTGGCGAGAGACAATAAGAATATTATCATGAACTGTAACTGTATATTAATAATTCTTTGATGCCTGTCTGTTATTTGTTATTATTCATCAGAATTAATTAAACAAAATGTAAAAAAAAATCATCAAAACTACGTACCCCTGATTCACTCTGTAAACTAATTAAATATTTTAAATTATTTAATACTAAACAGCTGGTAATTATTTTTTAGATTTATGTGAGATTTGATCCAGCCTTCAATAAACCTCGTAATTATGTTTTTGCCAGTCGATTTACTTATATATTAATTAAAAAGTCGATCATGCATTACTATTTTTTATTGAATTTTAGTTTGATAGACACGTGCTTGTGACCCACCAATAGTCGAAAAGGGTAGAGATTTAATTAATTAATTTAGGAATTCAAACTATTTTTTTTGGGTTAATAGTATTTGAAGTCCTCAATTTCTTTTAAAAAAATAATTTGATATTTGAACTATTTTACATTTAATGTAACCTTCGACTCATAAAAAGTTCAATGTAGCATTTTGACTAATGATTTCTATCGTTGATCATTATGATACCGATTTAACACTTTATGCTGACATTTTATTCGAAAGTTAAAACTTTCAATTTTAAAGTTTTAAGACGAACTCTTCAAGTGATCTCAGTGATTAAAGAGAGTGTTATTCTCTCTAGAGATAATGAGTTGAAACAGTTACGTCTGTAAGGTATGTATATTTTTTTATACATAAAAGTTTAGGTCATAGATGATCATGACCCCCAGTCCGATGCTAGGGCATACCTAACACCTATATTGGACTATCACATTTATATCTTGAGAAAATAAACTGTAGCATTGATATCATATTCTTCATCTCTTGTTCCAACAACTATTGATCCAAGAAATTTGGTGATTAAAAGTTGATTTATCGATAATACTAATTTAATGAAATGGCTGTCCCTTTTTCTCATATATATAAGGTAAGGGGAGGTAAGATAGTAGGCTACTCCCAACACCAGGTTGAGAGCAGCTTCCGTAAGAGACCTCCGAATTTCATAATTCAGAGGTCTCTTACAGAAACTGCTCTCAAACCGGTGTTGGAGATGGCCTACTATCTTACCTCCCCTACCCATATATATATATATATATATATATATGGGAAAAAGGGACAGTCAGCCACTAATTAATGAAATAAAATCCAAGGTACACAGAGAATGAAATAAAATAACAAAAGAAACAAGATCCTTTGTAAATCAATGAGAAAATAATATTTTTGTGTATTTGATGATGAAAGTCTGTGATCAGAGTCAGATGTTGTGAGGACGGTGAAGTGTTCAGCGTGCAATTAGGGCGCACATGACACTCATCCAATGGCCAGCCAAGACTGTACTAAATGCCACATAAAATATAAATAAAGGGTAAATTTGCGTTTAGTACCTAAACTATTAGTTTGGATCTGTTTTAGTACCTAAACTTTTATTTTTACAAAATAACACCTAAAGTTTAGTTTTTGTTTCATTTTAGTACCCATCATTAAAAACTTTTAGTTTTCATTTCATTTTAATATCCCGCTCAAAATTTAATGTTGAGTTTTGAATAATTGAAAGCATAAGTATTAAAACTGACCAAAGTTGATAGTTTACGTGCTAGACGTATTGAGTTTTTAATGGCAGGTACTAAAATAAAATAAAATTTGACCTTTATGTATGGTTTTGAAAAAAAAATGAAACTTTAAGTACTAAACCAGATCAAAACTGATAGCTAATGTACTAAATATGCAGTTTACCCATAAATAAAAGGCCTAATATATAGGCTAAACTACACCAAATGTCACTTATTTCATTTTTCTTCTATTTTGGTCATTCAACTTTCAGAAATCACATTGTGTCCATTTACATTACCAATTGATCACACGAAATAATTAATAGGACTGTTATAGATCTTGATTTAATCTATGCTTAACTCAGTTTGCCAAAGTTCACGATGTAACCATCTTGGTGAAGATTTTTTGTGAGAAAAAAATGTATGTTAATATATAATTTTACTACTAAACTTTAACAAAAATATGAAATTAGTACATTTTTTATATTTTTTTAACGCTTAACTAAAATTTTATTCTTACGTCAATTTAAATTTCATAAAATCGATGAACAATATTAACAAAACAGTACACTGTCCTTAAATGCTCACTTCGAAAGACACAGACTAAGTTTAGAATTGAGAGGGACTAAAGAAATATTTTTACCAAAAGTTTTATATTGATCATCTCAGCATCTACAATTCCGTGTGATTTTTGTTTTTATTATGATTAATTAACTCATAAGAACTTAATATTATCTTAAAGGTAACATGCATTTGTCTATTTAGATGTTGATTAACTGACATAAATTTTATATTTTATTTTCGTTCCCAATATTTAAAACTCAAATTTTATTTCATGGTTTTTTTTAAAATAAACATATTTCATTAATCATTATTAAAGGTTTGGAAATATAAAAGGGGTCTATGATACGATCATGTGAAAACACACTTATCTTTTTGTCTGAATGCATGTCCATTATTTAATCTCTTACTTTTATCTATAGGAATTTAGTCCCTCTATTTGTTGAATTTGAACGTCCAAGTCCAAATATTTAACATCAGTAAAAAAGTTTTGTTAAATTCAGTCCACAACGAAACATCGGGATGAAAATTAACAACGAAACATTTTTAAAATGTAAATGGACCTGATTTAAACCAGATAATTTTAATGATGTTAACAAATATATTTTAATTTTTAAATCTGAAAAATAAAGAGACTAAATTCCAAATGTATGAAGAACACGTGGATTTAGAGCATATTTTAACCCAAAAAAATATAAAATATTTTGAGGCAACTGGGAAATGGTAAAACAAACATTATACTCCTAAAAAAAACCCTAATTAAAATAATAATAATAATAATTTGGGGGGATAAATAATGCTTTCATTGAATTTGAGATCCACTATACCATATAAGCTAGTTAATTTTGTTTACAAAATAAAAGGAATCGCTAAATATTATATTTTAAGTGTAACTCTACAAGTAATTGTGTGTAGGGGGTGCAGTTATGACAGTTGAATGAATTATATAAAAAAACTAGAAATAATTATTACAAGCAATAAACTTCAGCAAGGAGTGCATGTGTTGTGCTTTAAAAAAAATGGTTGTCCTTGTCCTCATATGTAATGGGGTAAGGGGAGGTAAGATAGTAGGTTGCCCCTAACACTAGGTTGAGAGCATCTTCCGTAAGAGACCTCCAAATTATGAAATGCCCTCCATGAGACTCGATCACACGACCTCAAGGTTAAGAACCTTGTGCTCTATTTGTTTTTCGAAACATATGCCATCGTAGTATATTCGAATATGAAGATGAGGAATGAACCAAATCATCTCGGTGGTAAAAGAATTATCGTTAGTTTTTGATGTCTTAATTTTGAGTATCAAGAATATTATGAGTGTGAGCATTTAAAAAAATTATAAATTAAAAAAAATAAAATTTATAAAAGTCATTGTGGGGCCGGTAAAAATTATAAAAGTTGGAGAGACAGAATTTAAAAAATATTTTCAAAGGGCTAAAATTGAATTATAAAATATTAAAATTTACAGAAGAATCTTTGATAAAGTAATCATACCCTTGGTAGACACATTATTATGCCGGCATTAGAATAATTTATTCCTGATAAATCTTGATTTGATTAAATTTAACATAATTAAATTTTTATAAAAATCTAATTTTTAGGTTGAATTAGTTTTTTTCTTAAAAGTATGATTCAGATTTAAATAATTTTTTCATAGTCGCTAGTTTTATTAAAAAATATCCAAAATTACAATGAAGATTTATAAACATAATTTAAATTTAAAATATAATTATGACATTTTTCTATTACCATTGAGATAAAAACTAATCACCTAGATCACATAAGGACCAAAGAATGAAAATGTTAAAAACCTAACCAAAAACTCGAATAAAATAAAGATACGAATAAATCTGACTGCATCGGTAAACGAATCAAAAAAGGGGATGAAGCTACTGAAACACCACTGATAAATCGTAAATCAGAGTTAAGCGACGCAATAAAATTATTCACAAACGTAAAATGCGTATCCAAATTCATCTGAGGGTCCAAAGCAGAGAAGATCATCATGATAACAAATAAGTGTCATTTTTATCAGTCGTGGCGAGGTCAAATCTAACTTTGAGAAAAATGATAAACAAAAACAACGGCAAAAAAGATAAACAACGGTAAAAACCGTAAGCTACCAAAAGGAAGAGAAAAATATGTCATAAAGACAGAGAAAAACATGCCACAAAGCATAGCCATAAAGGCAGAGAACATGTCACAAAGACATAATTATTTTTATTAAAAAACTAAAAAAACAAAGAAAAAAGATAACTGACAGACGGCAACTAGCATTAAAACCGGTGTCACCGTCGATTAAACAAAATTAAAGAATAAAAGGGTTAGACTGATCAATAAAAATGACACAAATTAAAGAATAAGAAAAGGGAAAAGAGAGGAGGAGGAAGAAAGCGACTATTTAAATAATTTTTTTATCTTGAGATAATCGATTTTAAATGTATTCAAACTCACGACGTCTTATATATTACAACAATAATAATATCAATTAAATTAAAAAATCAATTTTTAAATTTATGCATGTATTAACAATTTATCTAATTTCTTAATTTTTATAAATCACCAAGATCAACTCATGAAAACTTAAAATAAAGGGACAACTTTTCAATTTTTATAAAATCATGAAATAAAATTCATGATTAAACCAAATATCTCTTACATTCGATGCGCATAAATTAAGAAACAAGTGAAACATGATGGATGGTTTTATCGACTAAGAGCTTAGAGTAAAATATACTAAACCTAAACTATAAGATTTTATATGTTTTAATACTTAAACTTTTAATTTTTTAAAACTATATCTAATATTTAATTTTTGTTTCATTTTAATACCTCATCGTTAAAAATTTAACGATGCATTTTTATGGGTAAATTACATAATTTATCACTCAATTATCTTCTCACTCCTATTTTGGTACTAAAGTTAGAAAAAAAATCAATTTAACTACTTAACTTTCAAATTGCTCCTATTTTAATAACTCTAATTTATTTTATTAATAATTTTTGTGACGTGACATTTTATTATTTAATTAACATATTATTAAAAATTAAAAATAAATTTGAAAGTTAGAGTGATCCAATTAGGAGTAATTTGAAAGTTAAGCAATTAAATTTAAAAAAAATTAAACTTCAGTGACCAAAATAGGAGAGAGAAGATAGTTGAGTGACTACTGATGAAATTCACCCATAAAAAGGTGCCACGTGCAGATCACCTGTTAAATTTTTAACGGGCGAAACAAAAACTAAACGATACGTATGATACTGAAAAAATTTGAAATTTTAGTTATTAAAACAGACCAAAACCGATAGTTTAGGTACTAAACTCATAGTTTACCCTAAAACTTAAGACGCAAATATATAGGAAAAGGGGGGGGTGGGAAGGGGGAAAAAAGACAGCGGGGTTTCAGTGCTGCAGCAAATTTGTAACAATCTCAGCATCAAAAGCACTTAAATCCAAGGAATCCAGACGTTGAGACAGCCTTTCGCTCAGGTCATCAACCTCGTTTCGTAGTCTCCTGATGTAACTGCATACTTCGTTCAACACTTTTGCTGCTGATACCTTATAAAAGAAAGCATGCAGAGCCAAAGGTTCGTTAGCATTGCAAATATTCAAAATCGTCGCTCTCTCAGATAATCACATAAATCCGAAGTTAAGTTTGATCGAACGAGATGAGGATTTTCCAACACAATTTTTCATTGACAGTACTTGCTATGACTGAACAAAGAGAATGAAAACTAAAATTGAACGACTGTGTTTGAACAGTTTAGGGTTCATATATTAACAAATATATGATTATTTGAATTTTATTTTATTTTTTATGATAAAAAAATATGTATATTTCAAATAGTGAAAATAACTATGTAAAAACGCTATATAAGAGTTATTTGTTGTTTTTATTTACTTGATTTCTTTAAAAAAATGTGATATGATAAAACGAAAATCGACAGTTCTAACATTTTATCTCCTAGCATTGTTTTTTACGTCGACAATACCTAATATGGCTTAGAATAAAGAGAGAGAGAAAATCAAACTAAATCGTAGTGTTTAAATGACTTAGAGTTCACAAGTTTAAAAGCTAAACATTGTATAGTTTTTTCGAATTCGATTCAATTGGACTTTAAATTAATTCGAATCGAGTAAAAAGAAAGAAGAGAGAGGAGGATTCGGGGTGTACCCTGCCATGGCGGCCATGATTAAGCTGAGGCAGCAACGCTTGCAGTTTAAAGATGAGAGCATTGAGCTCGTCATCTGTGATTCTGTTGGAGCTTGTTGATCCTTGGCCAGACATGGAACCACAAACCCTTAAAATGACACTCAAATTAGAGGGGCATAAGCACCTCTTATAAATACACTTTATGAGGCACGACACTCTAGTTCACGGAAGGGATGTGCACCGGACCCGAATTTGACGGGTTCCGACCAGATCATGTCGGATTTTTTCCTTCAAAAATTTGGGTTTGAATATGATCGAGTCGAGTTTTTAGAGAATATGTTTGAGTTGGGCTCGGGTTCAAATTTAGGGTGAAATATCCAACCATGAAAATAATATAAATTTAGCTTTAGGAATAATTGTAATAACAACCCCCCTCTCTCTCTATATATATATATATACAATTAGATCCATATTTGTATTGAATAAAAATAATATATTTTTTATTTTAGCTTGAGTTCAGATTTTATCTCAAAAAAATCAGGTTGGGTTCAGATCGAGTGAAGTCACCCCTAAACTCGGATCAAGTTTCGTGTGTAGTGTATATATTTTTATGTCAGGTCTGATTGACATAAAACCCGATCTAACCCTATCCATGCCCATCCCTAGTTGATAGTAAGATGTGATTAGTTCATAAAATATATAACATTATCAGAATATAATAGTTAATAGTTATTTGATCAATCAATTAAATGAGCTCACTGGTTAAAATGAATGTTATTTTTTCTAAGGGTCTTAGATTCAAACAGTTGTGTTTGTTGGTGTATATGTCATCAATGACTAACAATGATTCTTAATAGACACTACCTTATAATAATCTTAAATTATTTAAAACGAACATAATATATTAAATTTAGATGAACAAAATTATCTTTCACCCGTAATATAGTGTTGTTAACAGTGTCAAAATATGAAAAATATCGAAATATAATAATTACAATTAGAATAAATCATTATTAGAATTTATTAAATAGTCTCAGTGATAAAAAAATATTACTATTTCTAAAAATCTTATGTTCGAGCAACTATATTATTTACGAGATATATATACGTTTTCAGTTGGTTAAAAAGTTTTAAACAGATACTATCTTGACCATTGAAAAGATCACTATTAGCATGTAATTGTCTAATTACTTTAAAATTTTATTTAAATTATACACAATTTACATAAAAATAAAACTAGAACTGAAGACTCAAAAGCTTAAGACCACGATCTTTATTGATGATATTACGATGACATTGACAAAATATTGTCATGTCTAATCAGGGTATTAAATTCAAAGAAAGTACAGATGTCTACATTTTACCGAATTTGATGCTTTTGTCTCATTGTCTGTTTGATTGGGGGGAGGCCGCTGCCCTTTTTTTGTTTTGTCTCTATCGATTTTTACCGTAGAATTCATTTACGAGTTGGTCCCCCAAAATCTGCTTTAGATATTCTTGGATCTCAAGTTCTGTTATGTGACTTAAATGGAAAGGGTTGCACTTGCCTTTGCTTAGAGGGACTGACATAAAAAAACTGTCTTATATTAGATGTCATCAAATTATGTTTAAATGATTATTTTAACTTTTTTATCCCACTAAAAGTGTGTTTTTTTTAATTTTAAAAGGCTTAATATATTTAAGTGTCTAAATTATACTCTAAATTAATTTTCGATGTCAAAAGTAATTTTGTTAAAAATATGTGTCTATCGTTATATTTTTTATTTTTATAATAATAAAAATATTATTTTTAAAAATTAAAAAAATAATCAACACCCTGCCTTCCGAGACGTGCACCACCATCACTCCCAAATTTGCCATCATCTCTTTCACCCACGCTGATCATCGTTCGTTAAAAAGCCTGTAGAAGCAGTGTCGTTCTCTATCTCTGATCGTTGTAATCACCCATTTCTTGCGGCGATCTTCGCTTGAATCATGGGGGTTCAGTCGTTGGGTGTTCATGCGATTGGGTGCCGTCGAGATTTCGACCGATTGACAATGGTTGTGGTGGCCAGTGATGAGGAGATTGATATTAGATATATTTTTTTTAGAATTTTGGAGTTATTTGTTATAATTCCAATAAATTTTGAGGGTTTTTATATAGAAAATGATAATTTTAAGTTTTTAAATAATTTTTTAGAAATTTTATATGGTTAACACGTGTCAGATAACTATCAAACTTAGCGTCCGTTACAGTTTAGGTGCTTAAAAGTGTAATTTTAAAAACATTAGACACCTATTATTAACGAAAAAATCTTTATGTACCAAAAGTCAATTTAGAGTATAGTTTAGGTATTAAAAAGTGTATTGAGCCTTTTAAAAGTTGTCTGATTCGAAATGTCTTATTAGAAAAGTCAACAAACAATAACGATTATATTTCATTGTTCGCCCTTATATGCCCCACCTTTTTATACATATCAAAATAAATTTGTCAAATCTATTAATCACTTTTAGGGATAATTTTATCATTTTCATTGGTTAATTTGTGGGATGGAGAGAGTATTAAATTTTTAAAAATTGCAAAACAATTATACATAATAACTTTTAATAAGATTTTTTTCCACCATTATAAATTTGGGGAGGAAGAATGGGTCACGACGATTTGAACTTTATTTTTTTTAATGAAGGGATCAAAGCTGTTTTTTTTTTGGTGTTAAAATGGTTAAAATTATGAATTTAGTTTACAAATATTAAAATTTAAATTATCTAATTTTAAAAAAGATAACTCAATTTTAAACCCATTTCTACATCACAAACTTATTTAATAATTATAAAAATTGCAAAAAGATATTCTTTACACAAATCTTTTTATTTAAATAAACTTAATTATCAACTAATCTTTTATAATAAAATTGAAACCAGTAATTTATAAAACGTATGAAGAGGGCCGAGCAATGTAAACAGTGTATCTGCCTCCATTTGTACAAGAAGCCCATGTGAATGTCAGTGGATCCCTTGGCTTAGCTTCCTATATAGCTGTATAGCTTTGTACCACCCTAATGTATATTGCAAACGTGTCCAAGGCCATTATATTCTACACCCGTTGCACTTTGATTTTCTCCAAGGCTCATTTAATTTTGAATTTATTATTTTCTAGATATTGAAAACATTTTTTTGTGTATTTTTATGATTAAATTTAATGGAATATTAATTAATAAAAATTTATTCATGCTGTGTTTAATCAGAATACATAATATAATTACTTGTACAATAAACAGACTAAAAAAGATGTTATCGGTTATTAAAATCAAAATATTTTTCATATAATTGCATAAAATTTAAATTCATGTATTACCTTATAAAATATAATATATTAAAACAGACCCAGCACCAGTTAATAAAAAGGAAAAAATGAAAAAGTGATTGTTCAATTGGAACAGCCCGCAAAGCCATATTGAATCCAGGTAGCCACAACCTGTTATCTTTCCACCGCAAGGAGAGGGAACTATTCGCTGCTCTGTGAAACCAGCCTCACGCGGTGCGTTCCACTCTAGGGGCTAAGAGACCCTTGCCTTCGCACAAGGCCCGTAGCCCAACTCCTCGCTTGGAGCAGGCAGGCCAGAGAACAGCAACCATGGACTCGACTATTAAGGACTGTACCAATGTCCAATCACCTTAATGCCCCCACTTGGGTCACAAGCAGGCGTTACCCCGATCGGCGAACATATTTAACCTTTATCTCATATTTAAATAGCTCGAGTTTTACATATTTCACTGATGTGGGACTGCTTCTCCTTTTCTTCCACCTCGCTTGTGGTGTTATCCCAAGCGTGAAACCACAGTTATACTCAAAATTGATGATTTCCAAATATCAAATAGAGCAATCTGAATGATAAACACACGAATCATCTACAAGAAAGGAGATCAACTAATCACGAAGGAGAATCTTTTTGTATCATTGATTTTTTGTTCTTTTATGTTTTGACAAAAAGTTCCATAGTTGCAGGCTTTGATCAGATGTATTCACAGGAAACCGGGACACGATTAAATTGATTCAAAAGGGTTCGGCCAATGCTTATAGAAACAAGAATAATTATTGGATCGAACTATAACTACTCGGGTGTAACTGTTGAATACGGATATATGGTCCGATTTCGGTCGAAGAAGCCATTTTTGTCAACCAGTATAGCACTAGCAGGAAGATAAAATTTGCATCATCAACAAACGGAGTTGAACTTCAGAGTGACAACTTGTGAATTTCAGTGCGTGGTGAGACCAAATTCTTGTACAAGACTCTGCATTGTAGCAACAATGGCCAAACTATTAATAGGAGACTACATCACCAGCCGTCTATCCCATTATCACCAAGTCTGGATATCACTGATCTTCTCCTTGGTCAATTGAGCCTTCATTGCAAACACCGAGTCCTTGAGTCGAGTCAGGGTGTCATCGAACAGGATCAAGCAGTCTTTTAGAGTGAGCTGAGAGCGGAGACCGTTGAGGGACATGAACGAAGAAGAGAAGTCCGGGAGAAGGGTTATGGACAGTCGGAGAGAGGCTAAGATAATCATTTAATTTGATTGACTTGTTACAAAATCTCATTAAATTTATCGAGTTTTTGCAATTATTATAGCGTTATACCGACTATTTTATAACAATTTAGTAACTTTAATAACCATTTTATAACAATGAATAATTTAGTGGTCAAATCATCATGTGAGCATAGGAATCCTTATCATGACGGGTGAGATGAGATTAATACCACATACCAACCAAACGAGAGAAAAAATATATCATAGAAGTCCTTATATTATACATCAGTTGCATTTTAATCTTGTTCAATCTATACAGTTCGGTGTTTTGATTCGTTTAATTTTATTATTATATAGTGATAAATTAGAAGACCTTATTAAATTGGTACTCAAGTGACACTGTTATGCTTTACCTTTTGCACATTTAGGTTTCGAGCCTTAGTTTAAGCTATGTATGATATTAACGTACTTTATGTTTATTCGAATTAATTCAATCTAAATTATATCTTAACTTAAAATCTACTCGTACAAATAAGCACAAAAGATAAGCTCATTACAACACATTGATTTGGGGGCTGTTGAAAACATACCCGAGAATAAGAGAACAAAGATAATCAAAACGAAATGTCAATGCAAGGGGCAAATTTATTGAAAAAAGAAACATTCTGAGAAAAAATTTTACGAGACAATTGATCCACTAGTGAATTCTTTCTTATAGGTGATACCGGATATGACATTCCGGGAGTTCGAGGCACTACGCAGTGCAAACACTGATAAAATTCTGACGAAGAAGGCACGGCTGATAAAATTGAAGATCAATACTTTCTGGTCGCAGAAATGCTTTTATGGTAATTCATTTAGAACATATGAAAAGGACATGAAATATGGTTATCTGAAACGACTACCGAACTATACCTGATTTTTCGATAGCAGTATTTCCAAAAATAGAAGCCGAGGAATACCAAATACAAACTCGTCGAGAAACCATTTGCCCGATAGGGAAGCTCTAATCCCAGTATTATGGGTTGTGGAGCTTGAACCCAAATACTCTTGGGACATAGCTTTGAGTCGCCTTTTGTGGCTTCAGATGCGAATACGTCATCAGGAACAGGTGAGGAAATGTGGTCCCGAAATAGGCTCCATCGATGTCTAGATAGAAATAATTAAGGCGACTCATTACATACTCAAATCAGAACACGCCATGGCAGAATTGTCGGAAATATAAACATTGATTGTATATATAGACATTGATCATGTGACTATCATAAATGCACGGAAGTGGTAGTAAGGAAAACCTATTCATAACATTCATGCATGAATGTATCAAGTAGCAATTAATTTCAGTGACCAAAAGGATACTGCCTTGATACTTGGACCGTGGGTAGTAAATATCTTCGCATCTAGGGCAGTACACTTTTACGGTGCTTGACCGAGGGAAATCTGATTGACCAACCGGTAGACATGGCTGTCCACAGCAGTAAACTCTTGGGCATCTTCCAAAATCATAGTTCTTGTACTTGTCTAGCTGTAAAAGTTTGGATTGTTATAAAGTTTTATATATCAATATGTAAAAATGAAACTATAATGTCGAATACCATGGCGGGCTTCTCACCATAGCAGCCATTCCTTTGCTTGTCAATATGAATCGTGCATGAATCAGACCATAAAGCATTTCAGCGGCGGATTCAACTAATTCATTTTGCTCCTCTGTAAGCATATCTCCTATCCATGTCAGCCCAACACAAATTACGCATCGCAAGAAACATTAAACAAACACTTGCCTTGTTGTTAGATGACACAAATACTGTCCCACTTAAATTAAAATGCCATCAAGAACATTAAATGCAGAAAAATTGGAAATCTTGCCATCTTTGATATTTAAAAGCAGTCAAATTAGAATGAAACCAATCATGAAACCAGATGCTTTAAAGAACATAAATGAGACAAGTGTTAACACTCTCAAAAAACTAATGACAGGATGGACCTCAAACTTCAACAAATCAAGAGCAATCAGACTTTCACACACCGTAAACAACTTGACAAGAGAAGAAACATACTGTATACTTACCATGTGAAGATTCGATATCCAAAATCAAATCAAGAGCATGTTCATAATAAGGAACTTGGCTGCTTAGCCCACAAAGGTTAAAATCATCTTGTATATAGTCATTGTCAACTTCACAAAAGAATTCATTTCCTCGTAGATTGCAAAACCAGGAGATCCAAGATGTGTCATCCCCATCGGAACCGCTAACATCTGACTCCTCTGTTTCGGTTTCAGATTCATCTGCAACTAATGTGATCAAAATTTGCATTAGCATATGTCAATAACAAGCGACATAGGAAAGAAATGTCACCAAAAAAACCAAAGGTAACAACCCTCACTTTGAAAACATGGTTCACAAAGAATAAGAAAAACAGAAAAGAAGAATCTACCGAATAGACAATAGTTACACACTAAAAGTACAATATTAAAAACTAAAAATATGGAGGTTTATTGTATATAAGCACTTCGTTTGATTTTGAAAATCGATGCCCCCTCCAAAAGGGCTAAAAAGAAAAGCTAAAACCAACTTAGTTTCGATGCCGGCACTCGCTTAGGGCTATAAACACCGATGTTGCAGAAATCTTATTCATACAAATACAGGGTTTGGCCAATATCTATATAATCTCAACAAAGCAAACATTGTGACATAAATTAAGAATGTTAGCCTTCTCTTATTTTCTCACTCTCTCAAAAATATAGGCATAAAAAAAATCACAAATTAGTCTACAACAGCTTCAATCACGTACATTTCAAAACCTTTGCGTAAGTCTAATTTCATTAGAATAAAAAAAGGAAAAAATGAAGAAAACATACAATTTTAATCATAAAATTAAATAAAGGTTACAGAAATATATATTCCTCGTATGTTCGCATATGGAAACAAGAAGAAAAATCTATTTCTTTTCTTAAAAAAAAGGTTATAACTTAATTACTGAAAGAGGGAGCTGTGATTAAAAAGTATACCATTTGAGACGTTAGCTTTGGGTAGAGAACCGGAACGAGAGTCGCGATGATGATCAGGTGGATGTTTCCCCATGAGAAGGGAGTGTGCGGACTTATCCTTGCCGTTGGTCGTCCTCGAAGTGGACGACGACGATCGTTTCAGCTGCTTATCAAGCGCCTCGTTGATCCGTTTCCGATCCACAGACGCCATCTCTCCCTTGGACCCAACGGCAGCTCTCTCTCCTCTGTACATCTTATTAGCTCTTCTCTTCCTTCTTATTTGCCGGTGATATTAATCGCTACCGTTATCGCAAATTTATTGCGTGAAATGACGCAAATGTCCCTTATGTCCTCCAAAATCTAGGGTTTCTCTCGTTCTTTTTTTTTTGTCACAATAATAAATTTTAGGTTAAACTACATGAGTTATAACTTTTATTTTCGGTATATCTTATTTTAGCTATGGATTTTGAAAACACGTGTTTCAGTCATTTTTGTTTTCTATAGGTAAAAATGGTTAATTATTAATTTAATCTTGAAATTTAGAAAGAAATATTAATTGAAATAGAAAGAAGTATTAATTGAACTTATGACCTTTAAATAAAATATTGATCTGACACTTAAATCCGACCAGTCATCTATCGTTGAAATGAACACCAAATACATATCAAGGAAGACAAAAAATAGTGAAGAAATTTTGAGGTCCAACGATCTCCAATAAGAGCAACTGACTATGACCGACAATAGCAGTGAACAAAAGCCGACAACAAGGAACTTTGGCCAAATCAATGGTCAAATTAATATTTATTTAAAATTCAAGTGTCCAATTAGTTTTGTATTAAAGTTTAATGGTAACATTAATATTTTATCTAAAATTAAAAATCAAATAAAAAATTAATCATTTTTAGTAGCATATCACATCATCAAACTAACTAAAAGTAACAATAAGGGATCACTCATGGAATTTACCATAAATTTTAATATCCCTCTTTCATAAAGAATGGAGCTATGAGCTCTAAAGCCAACTTATTTTTGTTTTAGTACTATTATTATAAAATGAAAGAATTTTAATTTTATTACCAAATTATTTTTTCTAACCATGTGATACCTAATGTCTTCAAGCCAATTATTTGAGCAACCTACCCAAATTAACACAAATTAAAATCTAAACATATATTACCTCACTACAAATCAATTGATTAAATAATTAAACTTGAAAAATATGAATTACAATAATGCCCTATACAATCCACTAACAACGCTAAGCACATTTAGCTAGCTATCTTTATGAAAGCTTTGATAGCTTTAGCCTTCATAGCAGCATCTAAACCTATTTTCTTCACACAAATCATGTAAAAAATGCATCCCAACCCAATGCATGCAAGACCCATGCTAAAAGTCCATCACATACTACAACAATCATGTTGCAACCTCATCAACTTCGGAATGGAAAATAAAGCTTGGAAATGTCGTCGTTATATCCCTGCATGAATCATAATATACGATCGGTGAGTTCCCCAGAGAGTTATGGTTTCTACGTAAGCCGATTGATTTTTGGTAAAACAAACCTCAGGTATGGAAGGGTCATGATTTTCAACAGTGACGGGTTGCGGGAGACGAAGTTTTTCCATTCAGATATATCGATCTTTCCATCCTGGTTCATGTCAGCATCCAAGAATGTCTGCTCACAAATTGTCACGTATCAGTAAATGGTAGCAAATTAAGTAAAACCAACGGAAGACAATATATATATTGTTGCACATTACATGCATTGTTGGATATAACTTAAATACAATGCCAACTAATGAGTGGTGTGGAATCTTTCCTCTATTCTGACTGTAAACCGGATACCTCAAACGGGCGATCACATGAAATCTTCTTATAGATATTCATTTCAAGATAGTCTACGGCTCGGTAGCTATTGACTCAAAAAGATATCCGGGCATGGACAGCAGATTTTCATCAGTATAATGAAAGCGTACTTTATGCAACCATACCACAACAAGCTCTCACCTTATCAAGAATTGCCTCGATGGTTTCATCAGCCAACTTCATTTCAGATTCACATAATAGTGCGATCAGCATCTGTTTGACCTGCCAAAATCACAGAAGATAAAGTTGCCTGCAAGAGGTTTGGGTAAAAATGTAATAGAATCATAATATGAATATGGGTCATGTGCATCAATTTATAATCTTTAAAACTAATTCTATTCTGCATGGTATATAAATAACAAACAGGTAAGTGTCAACATACCTCATTACGCTCGATAAAACCTGTTCCATCCATGTCATAAAGTCTAAATGCAACTGCAATGTAAAACAATCAACTTAGAAAATAAGATGGAAGGATGACACAATTTAGGCATTCAAGATCATTATATCAACTGTTTACGTACAATCAATTTTGTCCTCTTCTGAGACATTTGGATGGAAGACATTGAGTGCTCGAACGAAGTCGCCAAAATCAATGACCCCCTTCTTCTTTGCGTCAAATAAATCGAAGATCTGCATGTAGTAGAAGGTTGCATAAATAAACCAATTCAAATCTTTAAATTCTCTAAAATACCCAATTCATAATTTCCATATTGGTATTAAATACATGTTTATAGAACGAAACTGAAACAGGGTACAATACTCTACTCCAACTTGGACAAGAAATCCTGCACCTAGACTCTAGAGAGATATTTATCCCCTCAAACCAAATTTTTTATCTGTACTAAATTTTAAGCATCTGTACAAGATAAATGTGATAAACATGCCCACAAAAATAAAGCCTCAACCCTGTAAATAATCATGCAACCTAGTCACTCATTGCTAGCACCAGACATGCCATCCAACATGATTTAGACAAAGCAAAATGAAATTCGAAACTTGAAGTAATATTGAACTTCGCACAACAATAAATAGGAACAAAATATATTACCCGATTTGCGAAAATGTTTTCCTTCTTCCTATTCTTAAATAGAGCTAATTGAAATTCTTCCTGCTTGTATAACAGAAGAGTTAGATGGCCACCAAACTTCGAATGTAAATTTTCAAAATTGACTGAAAAGGGAAGAATGAGAAAAATCCTCTAATGCTAAGGAAGCGGGATTCGGGAATGGATTTTGTTACTCAAACTAGGGTGTGATTTGTGTGTGTCATACATGAGATATGTGTACGTTCAGTTCTTTCCAATATTTTTCAAGTATTTAGAGAGTCTATCCCTATATACCCAAGTCCAAAAATGTGTCAGATATGGATTTTCAATGTGGATACTTCTAGATAAAAAAAAAAGGAATTGTAACACAAGGAAGGAAGACAAAAAAAAAGCAACTTCGCATCATTGACCCGCACATGATATCAGATGTGGTAATCCTAATCTCAAACCACACTGACACTACCATACCTTGTTGATCAGCCCATCATCGATCACCGAACTGCTAATGCTCTTGAATAACTCAAAAAGTGCTTCAACTTCACTAACACTAACTGCAGAAGAAAACCAATCAAGTTGAAAATTTGGAGCAAAGAAACAAGCAAAGCATAGCAAACTATATAATCTATCTCAAGCTAACTGAAATTTACCAATTCCCAGATAATCATAAAAACAACAAGCCAAGAATAATTTGAAGCAAAGTCATGTTTCTTGACTGATAGTAGAAAACCCCAAAACAAATAGCAACAGTTAAGCCACAAACAAGAAAATGCTCGGGAAACATTGGCATTTCGCCTCGTAAAAGCAACCAGACAATAGGGAAAATGAAATGAACAAAAAATTTAAGTAATTTGTAAACTTACATGCAGTTTGTGAAGCGAGAATAGTCGGGTCTTCGTGTCCGGGGTATTGTCTTGTTACTTTAGATTGAAAGCAGCCCATTTACTGGAAGGAAAAAAAGAAAAAGAAAACTAGAAACAAGATTTCTAGACTAGAGCGCCAAGGCTTTACTATGTTCTCTCAGCAAAACCATTTTAAACCCTGCATGTTCATCAACAACATTAAGACTAAATTAGCTTAGAAACCAAGATAAAAAGGGCAACAAATGTGCTAACTATATCACACATATCTCAGACTAATAATTATCGAAATATTCGGTACAATACAAATTTAAATAACGTGATTACAATCGAATCATAGATCGTTCATCAATGCGATATAATTAAACTCTCCGAATAGAAAATTAATTTATGTTTTCCCTTTTTTACAAAATTTCTCCACCAAACAAGCAACATTAACAATCATTTATTATATATATGGGAGGAAAAACGAAATTTTCAAATAACAAAGAAATCAGAAACTTACAGATCGAAAAAATCAAAATCTTCAGAGCCTGAGCTTCGAAATCTCAACTCTCTCCAAAAGAACGAAACAATTTGCAACTTGTAAGAGACTGTGAAAAGCTCAGAGGGGATTATATAATAACAAAAAGATGACTGATTAATCTGACGGTTGAGATTGGTTTGATTTGATCAGAAGATGGAAAATCCCATTTTTACGCTGCTCTCTTCTTTTTTAACACACCATTAATTTGCAGTTTTGTTGTTTTCGTTTGTCCAAAAAGTGAAAATAGTGAAGCGTCGGAAGAAAAATTTTATTTAATTTTGGGTAAACTCCATCTACAGTCAATAATATATTGTTTTTCTTTTATTTTAGTCACTGAATTAAGTTTTGGGTAAATTATATAGTTTAAGTCTATTTTAGTACCTAAACTTTATTTTTTTTAAATTATAACTAAAATTTAGTTTTTTATTCCATTTTATTACCTCCTTTAAAAACTTTGAGTTTTGAAAAAATTTAAATTTAGATACTAAATACTAAAACTGATAATTTAAGTATTAAATGCGTTAACTTTTTAATGACGGAATACTAAAATTAAATAAAAACTAAATATTAAATATGATTTTAAAAAATTTAAAAATTTAAAAACTTAAATAGATACCCTAATTTTTTGGTCAACAAATAGGACTCGGACGCGGTATCTGCACGTGGTTTTGACGCGAGTGGTTGAATTCTTTTTACTTTTATAATGCTTCGAGAAGGAATTTGGAATATTCTCTCCTCCGTGTCAATTAGATTAGTCGTTAATTTCTACTTTAATTTCTCTTTTTTTACTATACGACAAAATCCATTTCAATCGTTTTATTACGAAAATGTTGATTTTCGTAACAATAATATATATATATATATATGGTAGGATCCGTTAATATTATATAAAATTAATAGATTTTAAATAGATTTAAACCATTAGATTTAAATAAATAATAATTAAAATTTAATTAAAATTTATTACTCATAAATAAATATCTTTTAACTTACAGTAAAATAATATATTTTTACCCCAATTTTAAAAATCCTAAATCATAAATCCTAAAACCTTAAATCTCAACTTCAAATATCAAACCTCAAACACAAATTCTAAATCTACACTTTAAATCATACCCTCTAAATCATAAACTATAAACCCTAATTTTTAAATTCTAATTCTTAAACCCTAACCTAATAAAAAAGAATATTATTTTTACAGTGACTTAAAAAATATTTATTTATAGATTATAAATTTTAATTAAATCTAAGTCATTTCATAATGTAAGAATATATATATATATATATAAAGAGTGATGTGGATTTACCCCTGTGGCCTTAAATTCAAGTTATTTTTTTCTTCTAAATTTGAATAGAATCAAATTTAAATAAAAGAGATATACTTATCAAATTTAAATGATAAAAAGATACAAGAGGTTCTTGTACCTTTTGAAAAATGCAATGTGGTTTTCTTCTTTCAATGTATCCTTTCAACTTAGAAAACAAATTCAGTGTGGCTCTCTAACCAATATTTTTTGTCGTTTGACCGTTACGATACTAATATGGCATTTCACGGTCAATATCGTGAACTATCACGTCAGTACTGTAACGGTCAACGAAAAAAACTTTGGTCAGAGTGTTACATTGAGTTTATTTTCTGAGTTAGAGGACAACATTAAAAGAAAAAAAATAATACGACGATCACACCATTTTTTAAAAATACAAAGATCTCTTATACCCGTTTACCAATTTAAAAATTCAATATCTCTCGTGTATTTATTTTCGTCGTTCATGAAATCACCTTCACAAAAAGATCAACAAAGCATATGTTTGTTACAAATCTCAATCACTAAACTAATCGTTTTTTCCCCTCTGAAAAATACAAATTTTTGGCGCACATTTAATGAATATTGCAATTTTAATTTGTTAGTGCATGTTTGGGAACATGGTTCTAGTTATCTCCCTGGACTTGAAACAAATAATCACGTGGAGGTGTTCGGTTTTGGCAGGTACGATTCTCTAACCTCACATGTTATCTTGATTCTTAAGCAATATACTATGATGAAAGAAGCCGACAATGGTAGTTACCATATTCAATTTACATTATTGTTGTTTAATTAGTACTAATCTTGTAATTAAAACAAATTTCTTTCACAAAACCGAAGAAGGATGTATGGCGTTAAAAATCCGGAATGGATTGACTGAAAAATGGGGACGAGAACTCTGCTTTCTTTCACAAAGCAAAAGAAGACTGGTTCTTAGGCCAAATTTGGGGGAGGATTATTAAGTTGATCCGAACAAGCTAGAGGTCGTGTGTGGGGGGGGGGGTCAGGTTCTTTGAGTCTCGATTCGTTGTTTGTATTGCTCGTGTTTGATTGTTTGTATTGCTCGAGTTTTCCTTCTTCCAGTTCTGTAATTTTGTTTGAGGTGTCAGCTGAAAAGCTATCCTCCAGTCCCGTTGAATTAACTCCAATATATGTGGAAGCACCGATGAACCGCCCCGCGAGGTTCCTTCATTGTTCAGCACAGAAATTGCATCACTGCAACCCGATTCAACTACGACTGCCTTCAACTGCAAATCCCCCAAAGTTCTGCATCCAGCGCTAGGCAAGACCCTATAGCCTTTTGAATAACCGCAAATCCATCCCCCTTCATCATCTCGAATAAAAATAATATTATTTATCACATACCGGTTTTCCTTTTCTTAGACGTAACTTATCTCGTGACAGTCTCATCATGAGTTATCGTCACTGCTATTCATTATGCCTAATCTATCCACTAAAGCTCTCGGCGTGAACTCTAACATTCAAAGGACCACTTTAATTCTACTTATTACATTACCCCTGTTCTCCTACTTATATATATTAGTGATAGGTTGTACGATAAAACCACTTTCAAGCTCAATTATCTTATTTTTCTTCTCCATAAAAATTAATTAACCCTTATTTCCGTATGTAATGAGAATAAAAGGAGGTAAGATAGTAGACTGTCTCCAACACCAGATTGAGAGCAACTTTCATAGGAGACCTCCGAATTATGAAATACCCTCCGTAAAACTCGATCTCACGATCCCAAATTAATATTATTATTTTGTCTTGCACTTGATAATATTATTTATTTGTAAAGTGTCGATTACTGCCCATATCTTAAAAGAAAATCGTTTTCCATAATATTTTTTTTCAACCCTTTGAAAGTGATTTTTGCAAATACTTTTATTTATAATTTTATAGCCCCTTGAATGCATCTTTCCTCCGTTCATGAGCTAATAGGCTCAATTCCAACTCATTGTCATTATCACGTTCTACGAGGCCCAACCATTCTGCCGACATATTATTAGGAAAAAAATCTTAAATATAATATATAAATAATAAAATAAACATAAAAGTATTAAAATAATAATAATTATCCCAAATGTTCTACAAAATGCAAGGATGGACCACCAAAAAGACCAAGATTGACTTTTTTTTCTCTTGAAAATGATGTTAATTTACATCACATCGCACTCAAATGGTGCAAATTATTTATGATGTTATTTTGGAAAAAAATTAAAATTTAACTATAAGATATATTTCTTATTTTTATTATAGAACTGTTATTTTTTTTAATTCCATGACCTAAGTCTCTCTTATTATTGCCAACAACATAGTTTTTCAATGCTCCATTCGTTTAATCTTTTCATAGAAAAACCTAACTAGCTCGGGTAAAGTGTTGTATTTATGTTTTAATATAAATGTGAGTGAATATGAATATTATAATGATTTGAATATTTTATACTATATATATGTAAATGATAACTCGTGATTATGATGTGACGACCATGAAATGAAGGCCATTGGAACGTGGAAGTGTGAATATTTTACCTTAACATCTCTTGGTTGGGTGGGTAGATAATTTGTCTATAATCGTTATGTCATTTCATTTTTTCCCCAAGCTTTTTGGTTATATTCTTCAAGGTAATCATACCTTCATAATACAAATATTAAATGATACACGGGTTGACCTTATTTTTCTTTTTCTTTTTTCCTTAACGACAGTCGTCAATTTTTTTTTATCTTTAAAATCAATGACGATATTGATGATCGTCGATTATCGATATTTATTATTATTTTATTTGTTTTGTTATAGTGTATTTATTTCTTATTTTTTAGTCTTAATATTTATATTTTTATGACACGTCTCTTTATATCTTTGTAGTATATTTTTCTCTGTTTTTAAGGCACGTTTTTTATCGTTTGACCATTATTTTTGTTTATCTTTTTTTTAAGATTGAATTTGACATCGCCACTAATGATCAAAATGAAGCTTTATTTTTTATCATACTGATTTCTTCTTTTTGGATCATCGAATTGGATTTGGATACTTGATTTGCTTTGGATAGTATTTTTCACGTTACTCAGTTATGGTTTGCGATTTATCGATAGTCTTTTAATAGCTTCATATCCTTTTGTGGTTTATTTGTCGATGCGGTCAGATTTATTCGTGTCAACCTTTTATCCGAGTTTATTTGATTATGTTTTTTAACATTTTTCTTGTACAATCATTGTGATATTAAGTGACTAGTTTTCTCATGTCTAGGAAAAATACATTTATTATGTGTTTAGTTTACGATTATGGTTGTAAATTTTTATTGTAATTTAGATATTTTTTTATTTTTTATAAAATTAGGGTTTTTAATAAAAATATATAAATAATACACATTTGAATAATTATATTCGAATATAATATTTACAACCGATGAATCTTAAACATCGAATGTCTGAATTTTCGGGTTAAACGTCGAATTTTGTTGGTTGGATATCTAGGTTTGGAGCTTGATTAACGGCCGTGATTTCCACTTCCATCTCTTCAGCTTCAAATGTTGAATGAACTCCATATAGCACATAGAACACAGTTATCAAACATGTCCATATTGCAAACCTTTCGAACGACAGCACTTGTAGTGTTGTCATGAGAAAGACATTAAGGAAAATGGAAATGGCGGCCGGCCACGGCATCAACGGCACCGACCACTCACTAGGCCGACCTGCGGAGTTAGGGACGACCGTGTACTGAAACAAGGCCGTA